TAGATTTTCCCTCTCGCCCCTCTCTCTCTCTCTCTCTCTCTCTCTCTCTCTCTCTCTCTCTCTCTCTCTCTCTCTCTCTATTTCTCCGAAGCGCACACGCAATCATCCAACAATCTTGCAGGCATATGAACATACACACCCGGCGCTCGTACGTCGTTAACAACTTTTTAACGTCAATTTAATATTAGAAACAACTCATCGCGTGAGATAATCATAATACAACTCTTCGCCTAATGAAACAACATCCTGTATTCATTTACCTTCGGTACTTATTTATTCTTTATCATTAATGTATTTCGATATAACTGCGGGGCGGTGAGGGACGTGCGTATGTAACTTAAATTGCGCGAACGTGTCGTTGTTGGTAGGCACTCGTTCTGGCGGCAAATCAAAGCGCTCGCACCGTTGCAAAGACAATGATAAATTTTGGTTGTTGTACAAGCTTCATAATTACTACGATTTTTTTAAATATGGAGGTTATTATCTTTCTTCATTTTTTCCGTGTTTCTTACAGTTTTTCCGTGAACATCTATTGTGACGTACTTCTGCCTCGCGTACTCTACCTTTTGCACATACTTTTACTCACTTATCATATATAATAATCGACTCTAAGTTAAAGTGTAACACGAGCCCGGATCGCGCCCGGAAATAATCCCTAATTTCAAACTGCAATTATAATAATAAATATATCTATATATAGCAATTAAATAATCTTATACATGATTTGGGCGTCGGACGCTCAATGGGTCGGCTACGCGTCTGCATGCTTCTTTGCTTTCTTTTCTTCCCTTTTCTTATGTACGTTGACGCCTTGTTTACGTATAACCGCGTACACATATCTATGAAATAATAATAAAAATGAGAGTATGTCTTTACATTGCACGTTTCTTGCTCCCTTAAATGATGCTTAAGGTATAAAAACCTTAAAAAAATCTTTGACAATGTTCATTAAAATTCTCATAAAAATTGTATGGCATCACATTGTTTATCATTTATTCGCCTGCTTTGTATAATCAACTATGAAGAATAACATGTTAGATAAATTTTAGCTTGACTACATTGATAAAACCTATCGTCGACACTTGGTATCTCGTTACACAATACAAATTGTGGTCGATTGAATTCAGTGTGGCTGACTGACTCGTCGAAGATGACAATTGTTCCGCATAAATAAATATTCAAATTTCAATGTAACTACCAATATACATAAGAAAATCAGAATAAGGAAAGAGAAAAAAGATGACGGACCGAGTAGCCGGCCGGAGAGCGGCCAATCGCATTCATCACAAAGCTCTATCAACCGGCCTCTATAAGTACTTTTGTTTTTTTATTTATTTTTATTTTTTTTGGCATTTTAATTATTTATATGAATTTTTTTGTTGTTCTTCTTATTGTTTTACCGTCTACACACAATTGTGTCAACTATTACAATGGCCTGCGTACACGTTCTTTTTGCAACATTCGTTAGAGAAAATTCGCATAGGATCGTCATGATTCAACTTTTTATTCTTTCTCCTACTTATGTGTGCACGCGTGTATATTCTTTATAAGCTGCACATTATATGCTATTATAAATATACATCGTAAAATTTCATATCTGTTTTTCTCTAGGCTTTCATTGCTTTTTCTCGTATTCTCTCTCTCTCTCTCTCTCTCTCTCTCTCTCTCTCTTTCTCTCTCTCTTTCTCTCTCTCGCTCGCTTTTGTTCGCTTTCATTCTCTCTTTCTCTTTGTTATTTTGGTTTTCTTGTATTTAATTATTCTTTGGTTCGATTTTTTCTTTTTTGCCTTGTACTCACAATCTTTTACACTCGTTTTGCTTTATATATTTAATTAATTACTTATTCATTCTCCTTTGATTAAACAAACTGAAGGCTAAACACCAAGGCGCTGACGAATCGACATATAACAGTTTATTTTATATATCATAATCAATAATTACGCGTCACTTCGTTTTAACAATGTCATATATAAGAAAAATACGCCCAGCTTGACGGTTAAGCTTTTATTTATGAACGCGAACACTTACGGAGTTAACATAAGTATGAAATCGAAATTTATACGTGTAAACAAAGATGAAACCTTATATAGGCGAAGAACCTTTACGCCATTTTCCTACAAAGTCAATCATTGCGAGTGCAATTGAAATGACGAAAGCAAAGCTCGACAAGACATTCCAAGAATCAAGCAATCGATTAACTTGAAAATTGTAAGCACAATTGAATACTGTATGTAAAGTGGTGACACAAAAAGCACGGGATAACAATTAAGACATAAAATTAACACATAAGAAAAACAATGATAAATGATTAACATTCGAAGAATCGCGAACCTCATTTATCTACTTTTTGTCTAATTATTGAAGTGTAACAGCTCCGTCCCCCCCCCCCCCCCCCCCGTCACGGCCATACCTCATCAAATAATCGTTGTCGTCAAAGCAACAATGTATCATCATATTTATATTAGGACAAGAGTAGTTATTTAAAAACGTTATGAGAACACCGTGATTTTTAATTTTTATTTTTTTTTCTCATAGGTAAGCGACGCTATATAAGATATTTGCTTAAAATCGTATTTTTCATCAACATTTTTTTAATTTATTTTTATTCACTTTTCAATTTAGATGTTGTCACTCCTTCCCCGATACATTGTTTCACTATTGTTGAACGTAGCGACAGAATACTTTCAAACATTCCAAGGGTAAGGAAGGAATAACAATGAGCTTCAAAAAACCAGAAAGGGGTGAAACCAGAAACGCGATAAACCTCATTCTAGTAAACTCTTTAAAAGATTTCATATTATTACAATAAGATCTCGATGTTGGCTTGAAAACAACATTGTATTTTGTTATTGTTATTAATCATAGACGACGCTGTCGTTTGCTTATTGAAGATGCCTGGAACATCACGACATTTTTTCACTTACGCGTTTGCATATCTAAAAAGAAGCGGCTGGGGAAAGGAAAGAGTTCTGTCAGCGATGTATGTAGTATTTATGAATCTGTCTAACCGTGTTTTGTGTGTTTTGTGTGTGTGTGTGTGTGTGTGTTGGCGCACGCAGGCACCTTTGTATATTATCAGGATGTAGGTGTGAACATTCTAAGGGGGTAGAAACACGTCGAGAATTTACGGATATTCTTGTCGATCTCGCAAAAAGGCGAAGCCACGAGAAATCGTCTGCTCGCGTATGCATACATTTACGTGTGTGTAAAATAGCTTTTATCGTATAATCGAACGGGGGTAGCGGTAGCGCAGCTGTGGGAGGAGTATGAAGGGGGTGGGGAGGGGTGGGAAAAAAGTGAAATTTTATGATTCAACAACGGGAGCAACGAACTTGGTGCGTTCGCGTTTTGTGCAATACAGTATTATCATACTTTTGCTTCTAAACTTCGCTAAGCTCATTTATGCACTGATTGATTTCGCATATCCATGAACTCATTTGAAACTTAACGCGTAGCACGTCTATTTGTATTGGAGATTGCGACGAGCTTCAAGCGCATAATTATTACGGGAAAGTAAGGGGGAAGGGTACGAAAGTAGGAGGAAGGAGGCGATGACGGTACCTTTTCTTCGTTATCTCGAGTACTTTTATGATATCTCATGAGTTGCCGACATTGATACAGCTGCGTCGTCTATGAATTTGGAGCACTAGTGAAGATCCTGTACATTTAGTATTTGTAGTACATTTTTTGTATTTGTCCGTATACGTGGGTGCATACGCGCCTGCGCATGCGTGCATTCTCGTACGTGTATATGAAGTGTTGTTTGTTTGTTTGTTTGTCTGTCTGTCTGTCTGTCTGTCTGTCTCTGTGTGTATGTTTTGTGTTTGTATGTGTATGTATGTATGTATGTATATATGTGCGTGCGTGCGTGTGTGTGTGTGTGATTTGCATATATGGAGATGCGGGCTTGGTACGAGTTTAACTCATTTTATGCTATTGTTGTTGATGTTGTTCTTGTGTCAACAGGGGGCGGTCATCGCTACATTGATGCTATTCTTATTTGAGAATCGTTCCGCTGCTGGTGATCCACTGCTGACGATGTGCGACAGATGTTTAATCGAGCATCAGTTCAAAATGGACCGAGCCACGCCTTTCAACCCGATCGTGAATAATATTATGAGCCCAGGCCTTGCACTCGATGTTGATCAGTACACCGACTATGAAATGGACATAAAACTCATTTTTTAGAAGGAAGTACCCATACTTTACAGCTTTAATTGATATTATAGAATTAATCAAGTAGTCATAATATCGGATTACTATTTTATAATAACGTACAAATGACGTAATTTATTATTCAGATTCAAGCCCAATATGTGGTTACGTATCGTGCTTATATATATATATATAATTTTTTACGTGTATACTGTTTTCTAACGTTCTTTTTCAAAAGTAATAAAATATAAACTTTATACAATAACTTAATTGAATTCCATCATCCAAACATTGCTTCAATTTAAATTTGCCTTCGAAACATACTAAAAACTTTTTAAAAAATAATTAATTTTTTTAGTATCATTTTAATTTCATATAATTAATTATAATTAATTTCAATAATTTAATATTTGTATCAAAGTAATATTAAATAAACCTATATATAAATTTATTAATAACATATATGTATATACATATATATATATATATATATATTTTTATTTATTTATTTGTTTATTTCTAATTAATAATTGAAACTTTTTATTTTTATTATTTATATGTATATTTGTTGTTAATTAATATCGGTTAACTATAATAACTCTAGACGAACGAAAATATATAGGATGTAGTAAAAATAGCTGAAGATTGATGGAAAGTTGGATTAGTTTCAAATTTAATTTTTATAATTCCAAACTTGAAAAAATATGAAATAGAAATTTAAATTTTATAATGGAAATTATTCTAAATTTAATATATGTAAGTAGTGTAGTATTCAAATTAGACAAATTGTTTTTAAAACAAGACAAGATAATTAAAACAATAATTTCTAATGAATAATGGTAATTCATACAATCCACCAACTAAATTAGAATTCATAATTGTTAATGTTACAATCCAAATTCAAACATATGGAATATATGAAGTTACTGTTTTGAAGCTTTCTAATTAAATAACGACAAAATTTTTAAACGATGTAATTTTCTAGATTCAACGTGTTATGTAATTCGTGAACACTTACATTTAGGTTTCTCAAAGAATACGGCTACAAGTGGGCTGAGGTATCCAGGTGTATTTTGGAATGGAAAATAAAAACCGGGAAATCCACGGCGAGGTATGTACTGAATAGGTCCAATATTTTCAACATCAGCGGGATTTTCACCTTCGCACGACACCCATACCGTATCGCGATTCTGTTGCTTCATACTAGCGATGTGGTTCTTCAAATCATTTGGCATATCTTGCGGCAACTTCGAAGTATCATTGTAATACGCTGGTATCCACCCAAATATCTAATAAATAGATATTTTTAAGTAACATCAAAAATTCCTCCACATTATTAATATAAAGAGTCATTGATAGCCTATTAAATTTTAAAAACGACTGCCGTATCCGTAATAAAAATTTACGCAATATATTTATATATTTCGTGTAATGCATGCATAATAATTGCACAGTATTTCCTAATAATCGATTTGTTATCGACTATTAAAACAAAGATGCACTGATAATTAAATATTAAATCGAGCTTCATGTAACTATGAATTCAAGATTACTATCGGTCTTGTATCTTACCGATATATGTAGTAGTCTATTTTTCATTTGCATACCTTGTTTAACTTTAGGAAGATGCATGGAGCAGAGTTTTGGTAATTATAAAAGTTTGACTTTGTGCAAGGATTCCATTCTCCTATCATAACATCGCAAACTTTTCCAGGTGGTGCAGGCTTGCCATAATCGCAGTGAACTCGATTCTCTTGGTTGGCAGCTCCAATACCTGTTTTATTGTAAGCTATAAGAGTAAAAAAATACACCGATTATTGTAATTATAAAGTTTACTATAAATATTAAATAAAAAATAATAAATATTCTATAATATTCCATTAACAATTCAGTTAATATTATCCATAACAATCACTACTCGTTCATTATTAATCTCATAGCATTGGAGTGGATTTGATGAAATAATATAATTCGAAGATTAATAATTTTAATCAGAATAATATGAGTTTGTAGAAGATGAATTTACCGTTCAGATACATTACAATATAAATATTAATATTTATATAAATATCCGATGAGTTTCTTATATAAAGTGAGCTATACTTTATAAAGCGGATCCGAATTTTAATTTAGTAGTGAAATAAAAATGAAAGTCCGTTCCCAATTAATTTGTGATTTGCGGTAGGCCTCGAATATAGATGATACCTGACTCCCGCGTACCACAAGTGTGTCATCACGAGTATTAAACAAAATCCATCCTTATGCCTAGGGCAACGGAACCAGAAATTACATGAAACGGAGGGCCTCTGACCTTGCAGGAAGTTATCTAGTGCTCTGGCCCAGTGGCGATAATTGCCTTCGTCCTTTGCCTTGTACCAGATGAGGGTACTCTCGACGTTGCTTGCTGGTGGCATCGGCCGGAACCCCAGACCAGGGTTATTGCCGATGAGGGAGCGCTCAAGTTGCCACTTGGGCTGCGTCGTGTCCAGCGTCTGGTAGAAGACGGCAAGCATACCGCCGAAGAAACACGCAAGTACAATGTAGAAGATCACATAGAACAGGAGGATCTTGGCTGAAAGCGGACAAGGACGGATTATGGACATTGACGTTAGATTAAAGACATTTGCACCGCAACATTTATCACTATTAACTTATTAACTCCCACGCAAATGCTTTATCATTTAAGCGAAAGCAGTATATATGAGCAATTGTTGAGAACATCTGTAAGATCATTTGCTTCATATATATCGGTGAAATCGTAATAAATGATTGTAAAAAAAGTGATTGTGAAAAAGTAGCCGTTGTAATTGTATTTTTTTATTTTACCGTCCCAATCAAATAAAGTAGATAAACCGTAAACAATCAAGTCTATTTTATTTAGATTTTAGATATTATAATATCAAGGTAATTTATATAAAATTTATTTTACATCGAACACATTGTGAATGGTCAAGAGTTAATCTTTTAATTTTAATGAAAATGTTGATAAAATAATTTCTTAACAAATAAAATATAAAACTATTTGATATAATAATTATTATGATGATGATAATAATGACGATAATTTAATTGAAAAACCTGATTAAGAAATTTAAATGATTAATATAAAATATTTGTATATTTAAATACAAAAAAAATGATAAATTATATGATTTATAGACTTACAGGCGAACGATCTTATTAACAGAATTACAAGATAATATTATATTTTACATTAAAATTAATTTTAAAAACTCGGATTTCATTGAAATAATGATTTTTTTTCTTCAAAATATTGATAATTTGTATATATATATATATGTAGTAAGAGATAGTATAGCAGAGTCATATAGCAGTAAATAAGGAAATTTATGTCAAATATAATATGATTTCCTATGTTTACTGTAATCAATCGATTAATTATTGTTTTATTAAAAAATGTTTTTAAAAGTATTTTAATAAATGCATGAATTTTCTTATCAATTATTGTTAAAAACGTTGTAATATTGAAAAAAAGAATAAAGAAATATTGTGAAACGAAATATAAATTCTTTTATTAATTTTCTATCTTAACCATCCTTAGCCATTATCGATAAACAATCATTTAACACACTGATCCAAGTACGTTTAGCTAATATATTATTAATTATCAAAAATATGTCTAAATCAGTCTATTGATAGAAAAAACAGTTCTGATTCCATTCAATTTTAATGTCCATTAAATTTAAATGATTGTATTTCCTTATCGCGCGTAAATTTCCATAATTTGTACTCCATTATGTATATTCCCGCATAATAATAGTAATGCAGTTTTATGATCAACCGATAACATGTTTACACAAGTTAAATGAATTTTGGTGCAGCTAATCTTAGTTTTAAAATAGACGGACTGAGGTAATTATGATGCGCGGTTTAATTGGCCTGAATTAATATCTTGTTGCGCCTCCTCATAGTCGCCGTCGTCTTTATCTATGCCGATGCACGCGTTGGCATCTTACATGCCATTTAACGTCATTCACGGCAGATTTGAACACGCGACAATTTCGGATATTGCGTTTTCGATTATGTACGTTACTGTAGAAAAGTTTGTCATATCGATGCACGTACTGTAAGTGCTACATTTCGTTATTTATTAGTTCGTTAAAATAATACTATTAAACCGTAGTTTCAGAATGCTGTCACTATATAACCTCTCATTTTTGTATATTCTAAATTAATATAAAATTAATATAAAATATGAAATAAAAATAATGATAATCGAATAATGATATCCATTAATTCTGAATTTATTACAAACGTATTTACATTATTTTAATAATCATTGCTATTTTTATTTCTCGAAAATTTCAAAAATTTTTTTTTTAAATAGAAAATAAAACAAATGTTCTAACTTTTATTGAATTATGGCTTAAAACGAATAATTATGGTCTCATTACGTGCAGCAGAACTTTTTAATAATTTACGCAATGACTCTTTCAAAAGACTAGAAACATAATGGAAAATTTAATATTTCACTTTTAAACATTATATAAATATAAAAATATATATATATATTTATTATTATTATTGTTATTATTATTGTTGTTATTATTATTATCATTATTATTATTGTTATTATTATTATTATTATTATTATTATTATTATTATTATTATTATTATTATTATTATTATTATTATTATTATTATTATTATTATTATATATAATATGTAATTTCGAGAATATTAAAAGATAAGTATTATATATGATTCTGTGAAATAATTATTTAATATAATATATTTAAATAAATTGTTTAAAATACCTAATAATTAAGCCTTAAATTCATTAATAATTTTTACTAAGATTTCAATTAAGTTTCTAGTATCTATATTTTTTTCAACTCGTGGAACTTTGTAAATTTAAGTGCATAAGAATTTTATATGGATGCTTATTGATTGATTGCTTGTTTGATTGGTAAAGGTCATTTGTTTGAGTGATTTATCCCCATAGGTCATCGATATTACACATTACTGGTTAATCCAATAAAGATTGAAAAATAGAGGGATAACTCGATTTTTATTCCACTTATTAATATGGATAAATTTAGTGAGATAATTTAATTAATTTAATGCTATTTTCATTTCGAAAAAAAGCTTTAGGTTTCAGCTTTAATGATTCCTATTTTTAAACAAGATGACATGCTATGCATAAATATAGCTGGATCCAAGGCTGATTAAATACACTTTACAAATCAATTTAAAATTTGTATTGAATTTTAGATGTATAATCAATTAATTATTCTATGGTAAAAATTAAATTTCATCTCGGGATATGAATGAGTAAGAAATGTAGCTGCATAATGTATATATTTTTAATGTATTTCAAATTTTTTTCGAGATATGCGATTAAATATTTGGTATTGTTGCATAAACGAAGTTTCTACATTTTTATTAAACATTATTACGATAATTTCAATATCGATTGATTGATTGATCCTTAATGTAAAATATAATCAATATAAATTTCCAAGGCAATTAAACAAATAGTGTATAACTTTGTTTGTATAACTTTTCAATACTGTATTTATACATATTAATATATCTCCTGCATTAAATTTTTTATAAATGCAAATGAAAGTAAAGGAATAGCATTGTAATTCGAGTGTACATAAACATTTGTTTACCACTTTCTGATTGTAATAATTTTTGTTCTTATTTTCATAATAATGGCTCTTATAAACATAATTGCGCATCAATAAGTCATCGCGAGTTGTGAATACAAAATCATAAGATTGGTAATGTATTTTGACTATCCTATTTATAACATTTTCTTTATCCATAGTCTAATAATGCTTTTAATAATTCTGTCGAAGTGAGCTTGGTAGAACACTTCATATTGAAACAATTAACTACTTCGACATGGAGAAAAATAAAAATTAAATTTTGTTTAAGAAGCAGGAATATTATAATCATCGTATAATAGTGTTAAAATTAAATATTACTATGTAATTTACTCGATGATGTCAGAATAGCTTAAAATTGCTATCGATTGGATTGCTTATTTAATGGCTTTTGGTAAGGAATACAAGCATTAAAATGCGAGCTCGATATTGATTAATTAATTAACACAAGGGATAAATAATCATTGAATCCGGCTGCCTGATACAGCTCAATCAACAATAAAATGTCACGAAGCATGAAGATTAGCATGCTCGTCGTTCAGAATATCATTGCTCTTTATTCGCGGATGCCTTTGCCAAGCCGCGAAAAGCAACGTAAGGCAATAATGTTAGCGAGGAATGATCGCGCGTCATAAAGTCGCGTAGCCTTGACTCTCACGCGGCTGCATCGCTTCGATCTCGATTCTCTCTAGCGGACCAACTTTCGTAAGTGACGACTCGAGCGCAATCGGCACGGAATGTTGCCGCTCGAGGCTGATGTTAATGCCGGCAGGGAAACGATCGGTCGACGCGGCGCCTCCATTTGCGTTTTATCGAATGAAAAGCAGCAGCTCACATAACGCGGGTGCGATCCCGAGACGCTTCGACTAACCTTTGCCATTTGATTTCGCGCACCCGTCAACGAGCGGCAATTGCGATTAATATCCCACTCACGGTTAAATCACACATGCTCGCACTAGCGTGGAATATCCGCAGCCGTGAGCTTGAAGTCGGAAGGTGGTGACAATAGAGCCCCGGCGAAGAAGACTTTCGGTAGAAGATCCGCTCACTTGGATAACAGTCGATTCGAGATGCTTGCCTCGGATGAATGCTGCTTCGCTTTTGAATATTGATTTTAGCAGCTGCGCGTCCTTGATCTGCCACGCGGGGCAGAGACGCCGCAACCTTTCGTAGAATTAATGCAAGTATTTTTGAAGCTTTTTCGTTAGCTAATTACAATCGATTAGCAAGGAAAGGGGCGGAATATTATATTTCTCAACGGACCATGGGCGCGTATACATTTAATGATTGAATAGTTTAATGTCGTAAAGCCAGTGAATGAGAAACTTTAAGTTTCGCGGTTTTAAGATTATTAGTAAAGTAACGCGAAAGTTGTTAGTTTAATGGAAATTGAAAGGTTTTGTCAATCATTTGCCAGCTACTGGCAACTTAATGTTTAATGTTAAATGCCGACTTCATCCGACGAGTAATATCGGACAGTTCCTCCAATCGAAATACAAAATCTCATTTTCATTGGCTATCGGTCATTTCTCTTATCGTTGATGGTTGTACAATTGTTTGGGCCAAGTATAGTTAATGTCCAAGTAGCCTCGACATTATGGTTTGTTGAAAACTTCAATACAATTATCAATACGTTCCTATGCCATATGAATCGGCATCGCGAAAATTTAATATGTTCAGCCGTTCGTTATTGTATCGTCGATTCATTCTCCATTAAAAAATGTCCATAGACAGCACTGTATTATATATTATTTCTCGTTTATTGTGCAAGTTTTATTACACAAAAATCTGATCGTTAAAGTGAGAGCGTTATGGCATTTGGGTGCCGTTTTGTGAATGTGATAATGGCGTAACTTTCAATTAACAACCCAATTAGTACACTGTATATTCGGTGGCTTTGGACCTCAGCTTATTTAGGCGATATTTGAAGCAAGGATAAATTTCTGGTACCGTCAAATTTCATCGATTATCCTTAAACTGCTACAACCGTACATCGTGGCCATTCAATAGCACCCGACGCTTTTTAATCGAAAGTCGGTGAGTAGCTGTTCGAAGAGCCGCACGTAAGGATCGGAATAGAGCAGCGGATATTAAAGTGGCCAGCAGTAATAAAATAAAGCGTTACTCCAGCTCGTCTCGTAATAAGCGTTCAGTTAGCTCGGGCATATCGGGAATTAACATGTCGATACGACAATGACCCACTGAGACTGAGGAGGCATTGCCGCGCAGCTCAACCAGACCAGACCTCCGAGATAGGTATCATCGCTGACGATGAGCTCGATCGAATCAAAGCCTGGGCAAACCGAGTCAAAGCTTAGGCCGAGCAGCACACCCACCTTACCGACGCCGCGCACGCGATCCTCCCGGCTTTCCGATCGACGTGCGCTTCGGCGCCATCGATCGCTCGAACTCAACTAGGGTCAGACTTGCCCCAGATCAGCAGCCCTTTATGGGAGAATGAGCCAGGAGGGAAGTTGGCCTCGCAGACTCGAAGCGCATTTCCGCAACCGCTTGAGCTAAATATGTGGGCCAGCCGCAGCGCGTATGCGTCATCGCGGGGGTGAACGCTGGCCGCGAGTGCTACGACCCTACGGCGGAGAGGCGGCGTCACTAGCCGGGTTATCGATCCCCTCGTCACCGTGTGCGCGTACGCCGTTGCGACTACGCGAGTGTCGTCGACCGGACCCCCGATACAATGCACGAACAAAGAGTCGATTTCCCGCTCTTTTCACGAGGACAGAATCTCTCAGCTTTCCTTCGAGTATCACTCTATTGTCGCATTGTCCCCGTTTAATGGGGAAGAAAGTTGAGGCGCGTTACAATAATTAACGAGGCTGGGAATATACCCGAGCGAGATGGTCGCGAGTACTTATACGAGGAAATCTTTTAGGAATGACGGGGAAGGTTCGGTAACCCATGGAATCAATCTCCGACGCGCCCCCTTTCAAATCACCTCGCGAAACCTTTCAATGCATTCGAGCATTTCGATGAATTCTTAGGAAAACATTTAAGGTGAGCGTTGAAATACTCGCGCATTCGTTTATGTTCTTACTTGGAGTTGTCGCATCGTTGACTTGGTTGGAAAAACTTATCGGTAATTACATACTGACACGATCATTCGTGGGCAATAATAGCAGTGCCACGGGAACTTTGATTGCCGCTCTCTATCACTATCTTGTTTTTATATTTTCATCATTATATCAAAGTTAAGTTGTATGAGTAACAATTCCATTTACGTTAAAAGGTTTGACATTTCTGAATCGAGACAAGACATTTATATAAGCAGTTAGAGCATTCGTAAAAAGTATGCCAATATTTTTTCTACAGCCAATCTTTAAAATTCTGCTGTAATAAAAATACAATCAGAACCAAATCATCTAAATTACATATCTATTATTTTTCTTTTTCTTCTTCTTCTTATTATTATTATTATTTTAATAGAAAGAATACTCGCTTACGCGTTATGCTTCAATGCTGCTATAGCATAGGGCAAACATCGAATACATTTGATAGGATTTATACATATTATATTTTTTGAGTACTTGTCAATGTTTAATAAAAAACATTAACAATAAAACAATGCTTTTATTCTTCCATGATAAAACTCATCTTTCCCTGCACCTTTTACATTCAGTATAAGTACTTTAAAGGATATATTAAAAGTTAAGGTTCATTTTTCCTAAGTATATTATTTGATGCTTTATAATCGTAATTGAATTGACTTTACATTGTGTTTGTCTGTATTTCACTTTCGATTAAAATAGATTAAATTCTTCGGTATTACATAAGTAAATAATACAATGCATAAAGATTACATTCTCTACTATACATATTTAAATTATTAAAGAAATTAACTGATTTTTTAAGTACGTAAAATATTGCAATAATATACTTAAAAAGATAAAAAAGAATGATAAGACACGTGATACTCATTTCAAGAGCAACTCCTTTTATTTTACTTGATTAAATATATAATATAACAGTTAATACTGATTCTCAATCATAGAGAATGTTTAGATATTTGATATTATTTATGACCTGTTTCCAAAAACGATGTCAAAATTAATTTTTTTGCAAATTATATAATATATCGACAGTCACAAAAAACACTATTTAAGCCAGTATTATACATATTAAATAAACAAAGAGGAAATTTTTATTCTGATCTTGATTTGTAATTAGCTTAAAGAAATGAAAAGTAAAATAAAATTATCGAATAAGAAATGTTGAAGAAAATTCGTTAGAATTAAAATTTAAATAAATATTTCACGTTCAATTCGGACTAAAAATTTATTCATTCGATACGAAATATTAGTTATTTACCTATAAGCGATATTTTTCATTTCGCATATTCGTACGTGTATTGCAAGCACTGATATTTAATTTAGTAAATTAAGAATAAAATGAAACTTAAGAAAGACTAGTACTGAAGCCTTAAAAGGTGGATCACTTGCGAGAAGGGAAAAAGAAGGGCACCACTGTCCCGGAAAAGCTCGAGTGTCTCGTGACCGACGCTTACGCCCCATTACGTAACCACGATCCGTTCGACGAGCGTCCGTCCACGAGTCCCGAGTGAAAAAATCGGCCAGCTGCAGTGTCAGCGGCAAAAGAGGTCTCGGCTGCAAAACCACTTCCCGGAGGAAGACTAAAGCAGATCACCACGAGGACTGTAGCTCCTTGAGGCCCACGGTGGCAAGGCGCCATCTTCGACGACCGCGTGCACCACCCCTGATCGATACTCCTCGAGGAGGTGGAGGAGGAGCAGCAGGAGGAGACAGAGGAAGAGAGTCGAATAAGGATAAGAAAGACTTGGGGAAACTCTACTTGGGTTAGACTCACCCCAACTGGAACCGGTGCGGCCCAGGACTTGGCCGGTCTCCGAGTTGTAAAGGAAAAGTCGTATACTTTCCCATTTGTCGAGCTTCGGCGGGGGCATATAAAATTGCTCCTTCTTGCCATCCATGGCTGCTGAGCTTCGGCCCCGGGTACTGATGAGCTGCTGCTCCCGTACGAGAGCGACGAGGGCGACGGCCAAGAGGAGGAAGACGAGCGCACGACGGCTCTCTCGATGCTTTCCCTTATGCGCTCTCTACCGCTCTT